TGATCAGCAATTTCTGAGTTCTCACCTCTTTTTGTGATACAGTGTGGGCAGCCCATCACAGCTAAATTACATACAGGCAAAACTTTTGGAAGGAGTGAGTTTCTTCTGAATTTTTCTACCAACACAATGATGTTATTTCTGCTGCAAGGACGGAGTATTATATTCGAGTCTGAGTCACCCAATTTCACCACAGGCCACATGAGGCTTCAGCTTAATAAGTACAGCAGGTTCTGAGTCTTATTCTTAAATTGCTCTGATCATCTGGTTGGAAACAGCTGAATGTTGTGTCGTTCTGTGGCACAGTCTGCAGGTTTAGTTTTATACCAGTAGGTAACATTGGGATTCAATTTAGCCGTCACTGTTAGAAGTCTTTATAAAGCTGCTTCTCCATTTTCCTCTGGCTTCAGCTTTCATGGTACATGGCAGGAAGAAAGTGTGGTAACAAAGAACCTGAGAGGTCACAAAAAAATATCAAAAGCGTATTCTCTCTTCCAAATTTTGCTCGCTTGCTTGGCACCAAGGGAAATCCACTACCACAGCTGTTTCACGTGTCTGCCTGCCAAAAAGGTGGCTGAAAATAGAGTAAAATAGAACCTTCTGATTTCCTTGCTCTGATTTTTACAGTGGCAGTTCTCAAAACAGGGGTCACCAGCCCAAAAAGGCAGAACTGGGTGGACTGACAAATCCAGGGTGCAGGCAGAGAAGCCTGAGAATGGTTGGTTTAGGAGTGATACCTGTATTAGATTAGACAAAATAAATTGGCATACAATTCCCTGTCAGGCAAATGATGAGACTCTAAACTTATCCCAGACGTCAGCAAATAATCTTTTGAGGAGGATGAAATCCCTCTCCGGCAAAGCACCTAGAAATTGTGCTGGAATGGATGAAATTACCTGAGCATCTGAGGCAGAACTAACACATGCAGTTCTCAGAACAATTTTCCCTGTCATTTGAAATGAGACCTCTCAGTAGAAATGTTTCAGATGATGTAAGCCTTACAGTAACAGGGAAAACAAAGCTCCTGTGTTTGTCCTGCTTGAAATCATCTAATAAAATAATGCATCTGTCAAAGCAGCGTTTAAATGTCATTCCTGTGTGTCATCAGAAAGGAAATGTTGTTCTGAAATGCAGACTGGTTCCTATGCACAATTTTTTCAGACTTCCCAGACCCATAAAAGCAGTCAAAATGGATGATTAGCAGCTGTAGTAGAGTTACCTTATGCATCCCTGGAAACATCAGGAGCTGCCTTCTGTAAGTTGTTTTTACCGTCTCTGTTGTTCAAGCACAGTTGAAATTGCCCTCATAAATGGGTTCTGCTGGGAAAAACAACAACAAACAACACCATGATAAACTGCCTCGGTAGTCTGATTTTTTTTTTTAAGCCAAAAAAAAAAAAGATCTAATGCTGCGTGACTTCCCAGCAAGTTTAGTATTCTGTGGCGTGAATCTGTTTTCAAGCAAGTTTGTCCAATTAATTGCCTTGTGAATTACAATTTGATTCACCCAGAGTCAAATCCTGGATCGTTTTGGAGCAGGCAGCCTTTGCTGGGCTCTGCCTGGCATCCAGGCTGCCTGCTCAGCTGATGCTCCCGGGGAGAATGTGCTGGGCTGGGATGCCAAGGGCAGGATGCTTTCACAAAGTGATCCTTGATGATGGATTTTGTGTCTTGGGAGGACTCTACTGAGTTTAAACCTTTAGAATGAGAAGCAAAGCTGGTTGCTGAAGGCTCTCTAGGGATCCTGGCAAAAGAAACACAGGGCAGATGCACCTGGGGAGCAGCAGTGGCAGCACTGGGGAGAAACTGGACTCCAAAAGCATGAGGAGCAGTACTGTAGTGTTGGGATGTGCTAATCTTGTAGGATTTTTGAGCATCCTCATGGAGGACTCAGCGGAAATTCATAAAATTAATGTTCAGCAATGCAGAGACAGCAAGTAATGGTGGTGTTTGTTGCAATATGATGCTGTAGCACACCAGCAATATTTAATTCATGGAGCCACCACATGTCTCAGAGGGGGGTGTGTGTGTGTTTGGAGAGAGGGAGGGAAACATGTTCATAGTGCATGTCATGCCTTAAAGCTTTATAGAGCCTCTCACAGACACGGAATGTGCACACAGACGTGGACACACAAACCAGGCACCTGCTGAAGAGCAGCTCCTCTTCCTCAAACACAGCTCCAGTCTCAGTGGCTCGCTCTGGGAACGTGGAGTGTTTGGGTGGGAGGAGGGGAGAGGGGCATGCAGAAGGAAATCAGGCCAAAAGCACTGTTTTATTAAGTGAAACAAAGTGGTCTGTTGCCTTTGGCCCTCTCCCCCTGGCGCGAGGGTCAGGCTCCAAAGCAAGCAGGGCTCGGTGTGTCTGCAGGGATCCTGCTTTGTTGGTGAGTGATTCCAGCTCCGTGGCTCTGCTGCCGTGCCTTGGGCAGGAGGATGTACTGCTGGCTGGGGGGCTGGATGGCAAATTGCAGGGAGGTGTCACCCTGTGGATGAAGTGGGGCTGGGGGAAGAACGTGGAGCCCCTTCAGCCGTGGCAGGTGAAGGCACTGAGGCAGAGAGTGGGGAACAGAGGAGGTGGTGGTGATGTAAGAGCAGCAGGAGGGAAACAAAGAGTCACAGTGCAGGGAAAAGGTGTGGGGTTGGAGAGACAAGCTGCACACAACGCTGTGCCCTTTTTAGTGGAGGGCTCCTGGTTTTTTACTTTATTTCTCTGTGTTTATTTCTGTATGTTCTTGATCACAGTTTCTTGTCTGAAAACTTGTTTGCTGCAGACAGGAAGCTTTTAGGCAGGGGCTGGGAGCCAACAGTTCATTTTCTTCAAACACTTGGACAGAGGGAGAGATCCAAGGAGGGGGGGAAACCTTCACATCCAGTGTCCAGGTTGTGTGGAAGCAGCTGAAGGTGGCAGGATAGGATTTAAAAAAATCCGGGTGAATCCATTCAAAGAAGAAGGAAAAAGAAAGAAGAAAGGAAGAAAGAAGGAAGGGAGGAAGAAGGACTAGGAAGGAGACATGGCTTCAGCTGTGTTGGAGTGTGACCAGAGAGGATCCAACCACTAACAAAGCCCCTGTGGGAGAAGCTTCTCACTAAAAGGTTTGCCTGGGGGCACCTCTAAGAAAAGGAGGGTGCAGGAGAGGAGGGGAGATAAGGGTTGAGACCCAGCACTGTGGTGAAAACTTGGGCCATGTTCAATCAAATGGAGGCTGGAGAAATCATAGTGAAAAGTGTTTAAAAAGAAAAAAAGTTAAATTCAGGTTTTGTACAAGGCTCTCCCTCCCCCCATAAGCTGTTTCCATTTTATTTGCTATGTTACTTCAGCGCTGCCCTCTCTCCTGACCATACCATTAATTCATGATGTTCTCTGTTTCCTCAGGAAATTGGATTGTCTTATTGCACGAAAATCTCGGTTCAATTTTCCTCAGTGAGAGTTTCTGGCTTTCAGAGTTCCAGAGGAAAGCTTATGTACCTGACATGGATGAACAGTCAGGCTCAGGAAATAGGAGACAAGCAAAAAGAAGAGCCACAAATGTGTTACCTGAAAGAAGGCACTAATGATTTCTCATCCAATCTGTTGAGTTTCTTTGGTTGTGACTTGTGATTTTTGGAGATGATGAGAATGCTCTGGAGAGGCCTGTGATGGGTGATTGTCTGGGTAGTGCTCCCAGGGAAAGAAATACTCAACGTAGTTTTGGGAATGGCAAGAATAGTTAAAAATTTGCCCATTTCATGCTGCCTTCAGTGTTCTGGTGGAGCAGATCAGACACTTTCAGTGCTACAGGAGGCTTTTGACATTTTTTTCACACAGAGTCTGTGGGGGTTTTTTTGGCCTCCCCCCCCAAAAGCGACTTTTATTGAGAAAATGTGCTTCTGCCTGTAAATGGAAACACCACTGTGCAAACAGAACAAATACAAGAAAATACATACATTATGTAAAAATGTTACGTATTTGAGATATTATCAAGCTATTCATGAAGACTGGTATTTTAAAAATAATGTTAACATAGAAGGTCCAATTTTTAATGTACTGCAGAGAACCGTTCAAAGTTCCTCTCTGCTGACCCCCCCCCCCCAGGAATTCACATGGCTCTGCTCTGATGTTTATGGGATGTGGGTGTGATGCAGTTGAGGTGCAATTTCCCAACCCCGAGTAGTGAAACATTTCACAGACGTTCCTGCTGATGTGATGGTGGTTCCTGTTGTGGGAGGGGGTGATCGTCAGCGTGCAGACAAGGAGGCACCCGGGGATGAGTCAGGGATGCAGCAATGATTCCCTCCTGCTCTGCCCGTGTCAGAAGGCACGAGAGGGACACCCCTGTCCCCCAGGCCCCACATCTGTGGACTGTGAGACAGATTACATCAGGCTGGAACCGGTATTAGCAACCCTTAATCTTCAGCTTGCCAAGACTTCAGGGTGTCTGAGGTCTGCTTGTCAGAGAGATGGAATAGCTGATTTACAGTGAGTCACTGCACAGCCCTGAGCTGCTCAGATGGCAGTCTCCCAAAACAGGCATCTGAAGGAACTTCACTTTCCTGCACCACATAAAATGCCAGGCAGTTTTCTTCAAGTCGAGCCACATATCCCTTCCCTCCCGTTTGGGATCATGGGCTGCAGCCCCCGCTCAGGCTTTCCTGCCAAGAGCAAGAGCCAACCTTGCCCCGTAGGGGGAATTGATTTTTCCACTTCTTGGCTGTCATCCCTCTGCATGATCTAGTGGGTGACTCCAGGCACACTTAATTTCGTTTATTTTTTTTCCCCCATCAGGTCTTGAAAATTCCAGTTGGGTCTCCTAATTTCTTCCATAACCTTATGAAAACACAGCTTTCCCAGCTGGGCTTTCCCAGAAGCTCCACTCCAGGGATGCAGCGGGGTCGTTAGCAGTTAGTTAGGGCCCGTGTGTGTGTCTGTGTGTCTGTGTCTGTGTGTTTGTGTGTGTGTGTGTTTTGCCTTGGGAGCTCCACATCCTGCAGCAGTGCCTGGGGCGAGACTGAGAGGCACAAGGTACACTTGGCTCTCTTCAAACTTTAAATGAAGGCCTGGGAACAGAGGCTTGAGGAGATGGGAGTGGAGTGAGAAACAAAGGGAAGAGGTAGAAAATGGAAAGCAGAGAGGGAAGGGAGGCTGAAAATCAAGAAGAGAGGTGGCAATGGGACAGAGGGCAGCCAAAGCTCTCCATAGGCAGCTGGCAGCACACCACACCATGGCATGGGGCATGGAGATTCCTGAGGTCCTGTGTGCTCCTGGAAGGGGGAAAGGGGTCACCTGGGAGGTGATGCAAAGTGCTCTTAGTGAAATCAGGCTGTGCCAAGGACCTGGTGCTGCAGTGAAAGGGAACACTTGTGGAGGCTGAGCTGCTTCTGCAACCCAGCAGGGAAAGGCAGTGGCCTTGCACCACTGGGAGACCCTCAGGAAATCAACCTGGGACCTGCCAGGTATTGTAAGTGCTTCAGAAAACAGGTTTATTAATAAAGTTTCTAACATGCAGCAGGAGAAAGAAGGTTTTTTTCCTCAACAGAGAAAAGTCAAGAAATGTCTTGACATGTCAGATGCTGTATTGGACACGTGCTTTCCCAAAGTGAAATAAAGGATTGTCCGTGGCTTGAGTCTGCTCTTCTTCTCCAAGCCAGCACTGCACACGTGGACAGGTTTTTGTGAGTCAGCAGGGTTTGCTGCACTTTTCCAAGATCTGAGCCTATTAACTGGTACGTCTGAGCGTTGAGACATGAGAGAACTACTGGTACCCGAATTTTAACAACAATTGTAAAGAGAATAAAGGCAGCATTGTCACCGAGGTGGCCAACACTGCTGGATTAGAGAGCAAAGCTGCCTCCTGGGTGAGTAACACGACGTCTCCCGCCCACAGAGCTCCGGACCTGCACCCTGGTGCCCGGACCTGCCGCGTCAGGAGATGTCACAGCTCTCTTCTGACCCACGTTCCCGGGGCGTTGCCATGGAAACCAGGTGATTGCAGCTGTACTGTGTGGACTGGGAATGGGGCTGGGGCGAGCAACAAGTCCCAGAAATGGGGCTGGAGCCAAGAGTGATGTGGAGAGCTGAGGTGCTGCGTGGTGAAGGGCCAAACACGGGCTTCCAGGGGCAGATGATATAAAGGCCCACATGGACAAATCATACAAAGGTCTCGAGGTTAATAATCACTCGTTCTCTAATTAACATTCAATATGATCGTTTCCAGGGCTGGTCCTGTGGAAACCTGGCAGTGTACGAAAAAAATTGTGCAAAGAAGTGAGCTAAAATTTCCGTATGCAGCAAGGAATATTCTTTCCATAGGCTTATGGAAAGGAGTGAGAGCTGGGCTGGAAGGGTCAGCTGTGCTCTGCGTGGAGGAGCTCACACTGCCACAGCAAACCTTTAGCTGTTAACAGAGAAAACTCCAAGGGCAGTTAATTCCTGCAGAAAGTCTGCAGGACTTCAGGTGTGTGGGGGAGAAACATCCAGAAATAAAAATGGCAAAACACCAAAGATGGTAAAAGGAGGGAGATAAGACTGAGCAAAATAGGGAGAGGAAGAGGAGCTGTGGGAGTGAAGGGGAAACCTTCCCAGGTACAGGGGCAATCCAGTGTTTTGGCAGGTTTGAGGGAGGTAAAGCAGTAGGACAAGGCCCTGTGGGAACGTAGAGAGGGACAAACCTGCAGCTGAAGGAGGGGATGTGCAAGAGAAGGGATTAGTGGGCAGAGGAAGCACCTGGAAGGCTGAGATATGGAGCAGGTAAGGAAAAAAGTTAATTTTAAAAATTCTCTGTTTTTAATTCTAGGCAGTCTTCGTTGAAAATATATCACTGTCCTTAAAATACCTGGCCTGAGTCACACTCCAGCTGCCCATCACCTCCTGGGACCAGGCTGCATCTTGCCGGTCACAGTGGCCCAGGAGGCATTTCCAAACACAACCTTAGACCCTAATCAACCCCCTCCAAGGGCACCTAGGTACTTTCATTGCTTTGCACAAACCCCAGGGTTTTCTCTCCCTGCCCTTCTAGGTGGGGTGAGCTGTTGGGTGCTGTGTCCAGCCCTGCAGCCTCCCAGGGCACAGGGCAGGGGCAGGAAGGGCACCCAGATGCCTCACTTCATCCCGGAGGGCGAGTCACAGCTCAGCAGGGACTGAGAGAAGAGGGTTCAGCAATGACATGTGGGAATGCATTTCTCTGAGAAAAACTGAACAGGAGATCTTTCACTGAAAGGTTTAAATTATCTTGCTGTTTTTCCCCTATCTCAATCCCTTTGAAGATCACTGCCCTGCACTTCCCAGGTTTGGATGTGCTCACAGCAGGCTGCAAGGGGAAACTAATTTCTTGAGTGCTGCAGGAAAAACAGGTTTTAGAGAGGCTGGGGGAGCCACCATGTGAGCACAGCGGCTTCAGGACTGGAGAAGCAAGTCTGGGAAACCCCATGCCATGGCTGTAAATAGGTGAGTGGGATTGATAGGAATGCTTTGGGGAAAGGAAAGATTTGGGGAGACTATTGCATAAGGATGTTGCTACCTTGAGACATGTCTGATGAGGGCAGATCCTTGGAGGGACTATGAAGGCTGGCAGTCTGTGGTGCTGCCCCACCTCGTCCTCCATGGCTCATTGCCTCTGTCTCTTCTGCATCGTTGCAGCTGCAGGCAGGGATGGGAGGGGACAGGAATGGTGCTGTCCCATCCCAGACCCACATGGAGAGTGGCTTGGCCAGCCCTTTTGATCCCTGAAGCTTTTCCCTCTCCCTTTGAGCAGGGTTTGCAGCACGGGGAGATCTCAACCCACACAAAGCCAGCGTGGGTGCTTTGTGCCTCGACAGCAGCGAGTCTGAGGGCAAACCATGTGTAGTCTGAATATCCTCTGGTTACACCTTGGAAACCCTAATAAAGCTGCCTCTGAACCACAGACATGGAGCAGGCGCCAGGACCGGGAGACAGAGGCGCCTTTTTCAGTCTTTGGGAGTGACATCTGGCTGGGGCACTGCCAGGTCGCTGGGCCAAAGGCTCAAGCCCCACAGCTCTCCAAAAGGCACACCTACTTTCAAGGTTTGAGTGTACAGAGAGGTGTGTGTTGGCCTCAGTAAACAGCTTAGCAGGGAAGGCAAAGCAGAGCTGTGCAACCCTTGATGTGCCGCCCGTGGTCGGGGGGAAAACAACCTGGTGCTGCCCTGAGCTGGGCAAAACACTCCTGTAAAAGGCAAATGCTGGATAATCGTTGTCTGGCGCTGTGTTGCCTGGATTTGGCCCAGCTGATGAACTGTTCAAGGATTTGATGAGATAGGACAGTGCTTCCCAGTCGTTTCTGCCCCACATTGCACAGTGTATAAAGGAAATAAGGAGATTTGGGAAGGTTAAACCAACTACAGGCAGGCAGTTATCTCAGGGAACTGCACATCCTCTTTGATGAATACTGTCTTTCAGGCATGGACTTGAACTGTGCCTTCAATTGCATCAGGCTTTTGTTGTAATTTCTGGGAGCTCAGCTTTGGTAGATTCCCTTCTACGTGAAAAGTTCTTGAAAAGCACAATAGTCAGCAATTTTACAGCAAAGCAATTTTTTCAACAAATATTAATGTAATTAAGGGGAGGGGTGTGTGTGTGCTGGAGATTAAGGAACACTATTTTAAATACACAGGGAGAGTAGATAGGACAAGAAGGATGGAGAGGCAGGACCGGGGTCATCACTTGGATTTTAGAGCCTGTCTTTTTTGCTGGCTGGAGAAGCTGGTTGCTTTTTAAAATAGAAATCAAAAGGTAGATGCTCAGCAGTGTGGGACTGATCATTAGATGTCCCAGTGGTGTGTGGTCAAATCCTTCAGTGCACCAGTGACCTTGTCTGACCACTCCAGGAGTGGATCATCGCAGGGGGAGATCTCAGCCCCCTCCTCTGCAAGACCAAAAGCCCCATGTGCATCTCCCAGTGTGAGTGCTCTGGATGCCTCTTTCTAAATGGCTGCATTTTTGTCCTCCTGGCCATCTCCCCCGGGTATCTGCTGCTTAGCAAGGTCAACCAAGTCACTCAGGTAAAACAGGATTAAGGCAGAGCAGGGTATGAAGGGATGGGTCACCAAAGTCGTGACTGATGTACAGAAGCAGTGGGGTTGACGTGGAAGGGCTGTTGCAGTGGGAGAAGCTGTGCCCATGTCAGAATAGCCATGGGGACAGCCTATGGAATAATCCAAGGGATTAACCTCTGGGATTATCCAGTTTGCAGGACAGTTTGTGGGATAGGCTGCAAAATAGCCTAGAGGGTAACTTCCAGGACAGCTTATGGCGTGATTCTGTCATGTGCAGGGTCAGGAGTGGGATTTCGATGATCCATGTATGTCCCTTCCAACTCAGAATATTCTATGATTCTATGGAATAGAATGTAACACCACCCAGGGGACAGCCCAGCAGGGGCAAAGGCTCTCCTGGAAGACTTCCAGTGCCACCTCCAAGCTGGCAGAGGAAGGATGTGAAGCAGAGGCTTGCACTTCCCAAAGGTGTCACCTTGCCGCTGGCTCCGAGGGCTTTAGGAGTTCTGCTGGCTTCAGTCTGAAAGGCCAACCTGGCTCTGACTCCCAAACGGGCTCTGAGACCCACTCAGCCCCCCAGCCCTTGGGAATCCCTTTCACACAGAGCCAGAGCAAGTTCCAGGGCAGCTGAGGCTGCTCCTGGTGCCTGAGCCTGTGGGTCGGGAGTGTCTCACTCCTGCTACAACAAGGCCTAGGGGTGGGCAGGGTGGACAGCACCGACCCCACTGTCCCAAGCCCGGCTCTCCCAACCTGCAGCACAGAGGGAGGTGGTCGGGAAATATTCTTGCAGCCCCTCCATCAGAAAACACAGCGAGCTGGCGCTGTTTCCAGGCTTGCAGCCCATCGGGCGCCTCTCGCCCTGCGAGGGCGGAGGAGCCGCTGCCTCCAAACCTCTCTCCCGTCCGTGACCGAGCATCACCCGCCGCTCAGGCTCCCCCGGGCTCTGCAGCACAGCACAGCAGATGGCATTCGGCATCCGCTCCGAGAACACACCGTCGGATGCTCTGCTCCCTCCTGCTTCTCGGCTGCGCTTTCTCCCAGGAGATGCCTTTGCCAGGATATTTCACATTCCCTTAAAATAACAGATTCCTTCTCTCCGGGGGTGGTTCGGATGGCGGTGGGCGAGAGCATGGGCTTTACACTTTCTTCATGCTTCTGCAGCTTACAGGGGAAAAGAAAAAAAAAAAAGCTGCTCCTTTTTCTTTTTGTCCTTGTAATGATGACAGGAGGGATGTGGGAATGGAGCTGCTGGGTTTGGGCTGAGATGGTCCGAGCCCCAGCTGCTGTGCGTGTCTGAAAGCACTTCCAGCACAGGGCACTTCCAGGTGGGAGCCTGTCACACTGCTTGCAGGGTGCGAGCAGCTCACCAGGAGAGGCACTAATTAATAATTATGGTCCTATTTCATCACAAAATCAAATTACGTCTCTCACCACCCTGATGCAGGAGGGTTTTCCCCCCTCCCAGCCCCCCCCCCCCCCCCCCCGAGGGATAAGTGCCACATGGTCTTGTGCATAACAGGTGCTGGTCAGTCCCAGGGGCAGAGCCACAATGCCGATGCCCAGCAGCTCTCAGCCCTAAAGCCAGGAGGGGTTGTTGCTATGGGAATGGAGCGGGGACTCGCAGAGAGCATCTGGAGCCTGTGTCTTTCCCTGTCCGAAGCAGCTGGATGTGGAGGGAAGCAAAACTAAAAGGAGGTGGCAGAGAGAGACAGAGGCACAGCAAAATGCATGCATGTTAGAGGAGGGACCTTCCCAGAATGAGACTACAGTGGGATACAGAAGAGCGGGGACACCAAACTGCCAGGCAGCGGTGGCTCGGCTTGGTAGGATAAACCTGATTTTCTGCTCCGTTTGACACTGGAAACAAGTCCGGTGAAAGCCCAACAGTAGCAAGATGGGATCTGCCTCCTCAACTTACCGGCCCAAGTGTATTTATTTGGATATTGATGGAAGAATTCAAAAGGTACTTTTGCTGTTTTTCACGAAGTAGCGTCTCCGGACGGCGGCTGCGGGGCTGTGTTCGCTGCACGACTCATTTCTGTGCCGCGACTCAGACGCGCGTTTGCATTGAGCGCCGGTGCGGGCTCCAAATCCCTTTCTAAGGGGAAAAGGGGGGGGGGGGAGAATCTTGAGTGCCTTCTGCTTTGTACACGGATGTTTATTTAAAGGGGAAGGGGAGGCTGGCAGCAGGGGAGGGCTGGGCGCTGCCAGCACTAACTCCCTGCCAGCTCTCCCTGCCGGCGTTGGGGATCCCGGGTTTCGCATCCCCGCTTCCTCTCCCGGAGCCGCGTCGCGACGTGTTTACAAAGTTTCGCCTGCGGCGAGGCTTTCCCCGCAGGCAGCGGGAGCCGGGAAAGCTCCGATTCCTTTGGAGACTGCCTTCCCGGAGGGTTTTGGCGGTGGGCATTTTCCCAGGGCCACGCCGAAGGGCAGGCGGTGCCCGGCGGTGGTGCCGCCGCGTCGCCGGGGGCTGCGGGGTCCCCGCCGCCTCTGCCGAGTTGTTCGTGAAATGCCGATAAAGCGCTAATTAAAACTTTCCCCTGCCATTCGCCTGCCTTGTTTGGTTAACCACGCTTCACAGCGCAGGGGGAACTGCGGGAGAAAATGTGTTCTGGCTAAAAAGGGAGAGCTCGCACGCTGCCGGGCTGACGGCCCACTGCTTTTAAAGAGAAACAATCCGCCGCGTTTGTGCCAGTCTTTTTTTCCTTTTTTTTCCTTTTTTTTTGTCAGCAATTCTTTGGCCACAAACCAAGTGCCTTTTCTGTAGCAGAGAGCTTCTGCGAGGCTCCCAGAGCAAGTAAACTCTGACTTGCAAAATGCGAATCTCTCGTCTTCCTGCTCTAAATTTTCATTTCATCCATCCTCGCCCTTAGTTTCTCCTTTAAAAAGAAACAGCAAAGATACCCTCTCTCTTCCCTCCCCTTTGCTGTGCGAGTGACCACAGAAGTGACTAAATAGCTGATACTCACAATCCCATCCCACCACGCACGTCTCCGTTGCCTACAGTCACTGCCCTGGAGACCCACCGCGACCGCCTAAGTCGTGTCCTCAGGAACAAGACCTTGGAGAATCCAAATCTGTGCCAGATTTCCCAGAGAACGCAGCTCCTCTTCGTCTGTTTTAGACGTGCCCCTCTTCCTCTGTCTTCTTGTGCCACCGGGGGCTCATCGGTGCCGGCTCTGCTGAGCTGAGGGCACTGATTCTCTTTTGCCGGGGCTTAATGTATTGGTTGCCTGACAGCCCCCCGAAGCAAGGGTTGTATGGAGTTCCCTGGTACCTGTGCAGTTCAGTACAAAAATGTTTCCGCATTTTGAAAGAGTGGTGAGTGTTTCCATAGATATCAGTAAAGCACATTGTCATCTATACTGGTTTTAAAAAGAACCCAACAGTGCAGCATTTCTCAAAGCAGCCTCTGGAGAGTACTTTTGACACTAAAAACACAGAAGAGGCACAGTCACATGAGCAAGCAAATGCAAACTCAGGCGGTATTAAGGGGGTTTAAGCTCGATAAATGTTATCTGTTTCTTTTGTCAGATGTAAAATTCCATCTGTGCAGTGTTTGGAAGGAATCCTGAAGTAAAAGTGCTGTGTAAATGGGGTTCACCCAGCGGTAAGCAGGGCATATCTCAGATTCTCCTGCCTCCTCAGTAGCAACATCATTAGAAAGAAGCAGAAGGGGAAAAAAAAAAAAACAACAGCCCTTAATCTTCCAAGGAATGCAGCATTGGAGGCTTCTAAAGGGAACTCATTAAATCAATGCTAAGCTACTTGTCAACCAGTAACGGAGGTATGAGCTTCATTATAACAGCACTTGTTGAGTTTGAAAGGGCTCAGCTCCAACTTGCAACCGGCCTGCTGGGCTCACAGTCGTGCAATAGAGGTGGGCATCCTACCACGGCACTCGTTGTGGTGGCAATTACTCACAGGCAGTGTTGTGTTTATATGGCCTCATTCTGAATTTCTACCTGTGCTGCTGACTTTGGGAGGAGCTGTTTCACCTCGGCACGGGGGTAAATGAAGGGACAAACCCGTCTCAGAGAGCCACACGCTGCCTCCCCCCGGGGACCTGAGCGTTGCAGAGGAGCCCTTTGAAAGTGCTCTGCAGCGGGAGTGTGGAATTGAGCTAAGTGGGTTTGTGTGTTGGCAGGTCCACAGGGGTACAGCAGGGAGGGCAGAGGGACGCAGGGATTACGAAAGAAGAGCTTGCTGGCTTTGAAATCCTTCCCAGGAGTTAGGAGTGCCAGGAGGCACCATCAGCAGGGGTTGAAGGCAGGACCACACCAAGGCCAGCATGTCCCAGAGGAAGAGCTGAGGTCCATATCTGCAAGGCCTGTGCCATGAACACCCGGGAGTCCAGTAGCCTCCTGCGGGAGGATGGTGGGAGGCTGGGAGGAGAAGGAATTCCAGCCCAGTGGTGCTGTTGCATCACTCCTACATCATGCTGGGGAATCCTAGCCCTTACCTCCACAATTTCCTCAGCCAGCTTCCCTTGTCCCCATCCTTCCTGTGCCTGCAAGGGCTCCCGGTTGTTTTTCACAGTTTGGTAAACTAACCTTTCAGAGGCATGACCAAAAATGGCCTTCACCAAAGCTGACCACAGGGGTGGGCTCTCCAGGGGGCAGAGCTGGCTGAACATCTCCCCATGCTGGGACAGCAAGGGCTCTGCACTGGGAGGGACCTGAGGTGACCCATCCCAGCCCAGCTGACACCACCCATGGTACCCCCACAGGCACCTGAGCTCGAGATCCCCAAAAGGGTGTCTTTGAGCTCTGTCCTGGTCAAGGGGCAGGGCATGAGGGTCTCCTATGGGAGAAGTAGAGCCAAATCTAATAGGAAGTGGAGGGGATGGCCATGCCAGGGCTGTGGGAGAGGGAAGATCAAAGACTTGGTGGTATTATAACCGCACACCAAACCAGGGCTCTGCACAGTCAGGCTTCAAAGAGGTCACTCGTTCTCAGAGCTGATTGAAAAATGAAATTACAGCGTAATTCATTTCCCATCCAGCACCTATATAAGGGGGTGCACACCTGGGGGAAACAAGTGCCGCTCAGGTTATTTATTTTTAAAGGATCCTCTCTCCCAGAGACAGGTAGCAGTTCATTACCCACCTGCCTGGACACACACGTGCCCCCGGGGTTGAGCACACAGGGAAACACATCCATGTCCCAGCCCTGCCACATCCTGGCCTGCTGCCAGGTGAAGGAGAAGACAACAGGACAAGGGGAAGCCATGGCTGTATTTCATATAGGATGAGGTGATCTCAACACACCACCATGGGCTGGGATTTCTTGTGGTTCCTGGAGTGCCACCAGATGGGGTCAAGCATCCAAACCCCCAACCTCAGCTGAGAGGTGAGGTTTGCTCTGCCAAACTTAAGCTGGATCTGGAGTTTTATTTTCCTTCATAGTGTTATTATTAACCCTTTGGCTGCGTTTTTTAAGAAAAATTCCTACTGATTCTGTTTTGAATTAAAAATCCACCATCAAGGAAACGTTCCCCAGCTCATGCCCAATCTTTTTTTCATGAAGAAACTACTGGGAGCATTTTCTCTTGACCTTTGAGATTTAAATGGTAGCAGAGCTGAACCAGCCAGTGGCCTTATTCTCAGCTGGGTGGCTTCCTGGATCTCCTTTTCAAATGTCACAGGGTAGTGGCTTTGGTTACAGAGTTGCAAGGAGTTCCTCTGAGAAAAATGCTTAATTCAAGAGGATTTCTGTTCCCAGTGACTTAATCAACATCATATTTGTAACAAGCATGGAAAATCAGAGGGGTACAGAGCCTGAACTAACCGGAAAAAAAGAAAAGGACCGCCGCCTTTGTCAAGGATTCCATGAAATCACTCAGTGTGGTATTTTCCGCTTCTTCAGAAAGCAAGTGAAGAATTCTGGAGTCATTTTTCTGGTTTACTGAGTCATTCTGGATGTTTAACAGAGAAATTACCTTCTTTTTCTTTCTCAAAGGAATTTATTGAGTTCAGGCTTTTTGGGTGTCTACTGAACTGAGCCACCCACATCCACTGTTCCTCTCGGAACACAAGGAACAGAACAAGGCTCAGGCAGCATTTTGGTGCCGTGGCCGTCGTATCGAAACGTCAGCGCGTCCCTGTCGTGTGAGCTTCTCTTTTGAGTTAGAGCAGCAGCATCTGTGGTATAAAAGCCCAGACTCCAGCAAACCCAACAGATTTTTCCAAAGCTCACCATGCTATTTTTAACATGCCAAACTGGATTCAGATTGAAAAACAAAACGCAGAAGAAAAATAATAATGTGACGGCCCCTTCAAGGCAATGAAATAGTTTTGCATCCTGATGACTCTCTCAGCACATGGACCCCACCCCTGGTCTTTTTGGAGTGATGATTTGGGGGAACACCCTTTCATCTGCCAGCCATCCAAGGGGTGCACAGGGGGATGTTCATGGGCAGTCAGGACTTGGACACACTTCTGGGTTCTGCTCTGTCCAGCTGGTTTTCACAAGTTTGTCCCATGCAGTGACAAGTTGGTCCCAAATCCTACTTTAGCACAGTGAGACATAAGTATGTTTTTGTGTGATCAAAGCCACTTTCTTGCTGCTGGAAGGTCTCTGTGGGTGCATGAGGGTACCAGGCAGTACAGACTGAGTCTGGCCACTGGTCTTGGCTAACCTTGGCTTTCTGATTTTAGCAGGCCCTGGTGAATTCAAGGGGCCTGCTGGATGTTCTTGTTGTAAAAGAGCAGGAAATGAACAGCGGGTTCCTAAAACTCCAGCACATTACAGCACACAAAGATTTTAAGGAGTAAAAATGGCTTAAAACTTTTTAAAAAGTGAAAGATAACGTCATACTTGGGGCCTGTCTCTCCCTTACTCCCCCTTCTTCTTCCTCCCCAGTGAGGGCTTCTCAAAGCATTTGGGGGAACAAAATATAATCCTAATACAGCTGCATAATTGAAGGGTAGGTCCATAATTCTTCCATATCCATCACCCAGAAAGGCTTGTTTGCTGCTGTTTATCTCTCTGAAGTCACACTCAGTCTAACATAATTATTGCAGTTTATGTTCACACTGGTCAAGACAAAGGGTAAGTTTAACACTTGACTTGTAGGTGGCTCTACCCACGAGCTTGTACAAGCCAAGCATAGCAACTTATGCTCCTCATATACAACTCTTCTGGCTCAGTACAAACAAGACAAAACCATTCTGTTTCTCTCACCTTTCTCATGAACTTAATTCTACAGCTGAAAGTTGGCCTTTCATTGGTCTCTCTCCATACCTGCTTTTCCTTACTCTGTAAACTAACATTACCATTCTAACAGTCCTACGTTATCAAGCACATTGCAATGTCAGACTTTAATTATGAGAGTAGTTTTGAGACAAACAGCCTAGCCTCACTCACATTTAGCGAGAACATTTGGTGCTAAAGCGCCTTTATTATCCAGTTTACACAACATTTCAAGCCTAATGCATTCATGTGCTGCAGGGTTAATTGCACTTAGTATTCCATTAGCAGCAAATGTGTGCCCTTTTTATGTTGAGAAAAAAAACAGAGTATAGACATTTGTGTTATTTGTCAAAGTTTGAAATACTTTTATTAAATATTTTTGTTTCTGCTTTAGAAAATATGAAACTTTCAGCTCGGCCCCTCACAACCAGCGTTGCTGGTTCCTGTTTATATTCTGCCGTTAGTTATTAGTACTGAATATTAGCAATATGTCCCTTAGTATAGTCAGCAGGTTGCACAAATCTCTGTTAAATGTAACCTTAATGAGCCATGAGCCCCAATGACTCTAAAAAGTAATGAGATGCTTCATTGCCCATAGCGAAAAAGCCAACCTCTGCCATGCTGTCCCTTTCAATGGACGTCCAAAATTGTCCTGGGGTCACACATATATGAGTGTATCGTAGACAATTTTCCTTTCCTAGAAAGAGAAAAGCCTCTTTTCCCATATCTCTCTGTTCAGGGATGCTACAGGGAAGGAAATTGTGACTTACCACCTGCCACATGCCTCGGGATCCTGG